CCCCCACACACTTTTTTCAAAGGTTGACATAAAATAAGCATTGAAAATTGCATGGGGTTTATTATTTTTTTAGTTTACTTTTATTCGTTGGTTTAGCCCCATCCCCCACTTTCGATTAGCCATCCCACTTTCAATTTGCTTCCGACGCCCATTCACCCACAAACGAACACGCCCAACTGCGTAACGTGGGGACAATGTCAGATTGATTTACTGAATGAAAAAATATAACTTCTGACTTTGAAAATTTATGAAACAATTTTTAAGCTGGAAAATGAATTGATATACTGAACTCAACAAATGCTGCTAACAAATAATTTTGAATTAAACGATTTATTGATCTCTCTAATTCATCGATCAATTGTGGACTTCGTTTATTATCTTACAAATATGTTTTTTAAAGGAGAAATGAACTAGAGTACCATTTTTTAAAAGAGAGAAACGATTCAACTAAAGACAAGAACTATTTTATTTAAATTGTGGAAATGTTGGATCGGGAAAAAATGGGAAGGAAGGAGTAGATGGGTTTAAATTCACTATCTATGATGACTTGTTACCTTTAAATTATTTTAATTAAATAATAAACGAAACTTAATGCACACTTCCTATCCCGCTGAAAAATGTCATTGTATCCTAGAATATAAACATGATAAAGGTCTCGTTATAGTTGGAAATAATGCAGAAAAACTCAACAGCGTTTATCTGTCATCCTTGATATATTCCCCTTTTATTTTACTTTTATTACATAAATATAAATGAACTTAATCAATTTCCAGTCCGTTCCTAGATTCGATATAGAAACCGTTGCATGTTTGTGGACAACATTGGAATCGGGCTCGATGTTCAATGTAACGAGTTTCGTAAATATTGTGACGTCATTTATTCAGTGTTAAAAATTTATTCAGCGATTTTAAACAGACTATACATCAAAATTCCACATGTCTATGTAAAACTGTATCCACGAATAAGTAGAGGATTAGGAGAAAAATGTTCAAAAACATCAAGAATGATATAATTGTTAAATCCAACAGTAAAGCCAGAGGAGTTCTGATGACGTTCCCCATAAGAATGAGTGATAAAAAACATTCCCCATAATTTTTGATTACATACTGAGACGACAGATACGTAATTTTTAGGATTATAAAGGAGAGTCTATAGTAATATAGTTATTTTCCATAAAAATTGCCTATTATTTTATTAAAATTGTCATACGGAAGCACTTTCCCCACAATGTATTCCATGCGCCCAATTCCTCACAAGTCGGTTATGTCGGGTAAGAGAGAGAGAGAGAGAGAGAGAGATAGATAGAGATAGAGAGAAAGAGAGAGACAAGGGCATGTACTCAGTAGTGTGGAGAGAGTGAGAATCCACTTACCTGAGGAGGAGTGTGTTAAAATTGTGTGGAGAGAGAGAGAGAGATAGAGAGAGAGAGAGAGAGACAGAGAGAGATAATCCACTTACTAGAGGGAGAGGGTAACTAGGGTCCCATAGAGAACTGACATGGGGTGGGAATGATCTGATATACCAGAGGAAGACAGTATCTAGGGACTCAGTACAGAAGTGGAGAAGCTATGGTCTCACAGAGAGGGTTGGGGTGTATTGTTCAGAGAAAGATGATAAAAATGGCTTCAACAGTGAGGTGTAAAGGAATCTCAACAGTGTGGATCTCATATAGTTTTGAATTCCCATTTTGCTTAAATTTTGACAAGGGCAATAACTCTTTCTAAGGTCTCTTCGTTCAGGCATTTGCTTTAATGTAAAATAGTTTACCTGATATTCACAATTCAAAGGTATTTTTTAAGTAGGAAGTATTTAGGAACACTCAACAAGAATTCTGCATTTTAACCAGTTTTTACATACAGTGGACCTTCAGATATCCGGACGCCAGATATCTGGATGCTTCAGTATCCGGACGATTTTTCATCGGAACGAAATTTTTAAATGTTATTTTGTCTTGTATAACTGGTGCTTCAGATATCGGGATGCTTCACATATCCGGACAAATTGAATGGGAACCAAAGCGTCCAGATAAATGAGGGTCCACTGTATTTTTCTCAATACTGTTTACAAAAAATGTACAATTTTTATGTTGACATACACTTCTGTTCATTAATGTTTCACATCTTAGATGATATGGTGACCAATATACATTTTTTGCAACAAATGGAAAGTTTAAAGTATATTGAATGAAATAAATGCAGTTTTTGTACTTTGAACCTATAAAATTGTGAGGGTGGAAATTCCTTAATTCTCTTTATGTCAGGTGATGTAAAGCTAGCTACACAGTCTCTCTTTCCGGCCCAATCTTATGCCATTGATTTCACGCTTCTCCACAATGACTGTCTCTTTCATGGTGTCTTAATTTCTTTGACCTGCCCCCAAGGAAATCAACATTTCAGCAAAACATAAAATTTTTAAAAAAATTTCAAGAAATGGAGAATATTCTGCATCATGTGGTGCTAGGTAACAGAATCCATCAGGAACTGTCCACCAAACAGCAGGCTCTGGAGGCATGGCGTCAGGTGACCGAGGTTCTGCTGACCGCGTGTCCCGAGGACCTACTGACCGCTGAGGACAGACAGACCGTACTGTTTGAGCTGCTACAGGAACTACAGAGAAAGGTAGAACAACATCTGTGTGTCTTGTTTACCATCCAACCCTGCAGTATGTGGTATTAATGTACAAGAACATGAGCGTCTAACTAATGCCAGGTATTGGCCAAATTTCATCTGTATACTTAAGGTTAAAGTGTAAATCTTGCAAAAAGACGTATGGAAAAATGGTACCGTAACATTTTCCTCCTCTCACAATATTCAAGTTGAAATTGCTTTCATTTGGGGAAAAGGGAAGGGAAATTTTGATTTTACAGAGAAAAAAATGGAGTATTGCATCCTTGATACTACATTTAATGTCAATTTATCCATTATTTTTAGGTGACAGAAGATGATGCCTTGACAGAGTTAACTGCCCCTGTGGCTGGGATCATCCTGACTCTGATGACAAATCTACGTCAGTGTTTCTGTCAGGATTCTGTCACCGACGATGAAACCTCACACTTCCTCATCTTGCTGGACTCCACAGCAGGTCAAGGTCAAACAGGGTCATGGGGTCAAGTGTCAGGGTCACGAACCCGATTTGCTTCCTCCCTTCAACTGGTGCTTAGAGGAAGAATGATAGATCACATTCTGCTTTCAAGTAAGAACCAATGAAAGATCTGTATAATTATGTACATACTTTTTTGTTGAAAAGAAATTTTTCAAGTGCGTGTTTATAAAACTATAATTTCAAACAACTTTGTACAAAACTAAGAAATTTTAATCAATATCTATTTCTGTTAAGGTGGTGGCCAGCAGAGGGTAAGAGCCAATCTATATGGGGCCCTGCCGTCAGAAACCCAATTCACTGACTCACATGGATACAGGTATGTCTAAGTAAATATGTCATGTGTCTTGTTTAAGAATATAGCCTAATTCAAAGTAAGATGTCAAAGCCTGAATGTCAACAAAACTCCACAGATTTTGCTTTTTCTTTGCGGCATTCATGGATCAACGTAAAACTGTAATTTATAGAATACAGTCATGCTCTTCAAGTGAGATACATGTATTATATGAAATAAAAACATAAACGACTATTGTGACCGTGTCATATTGATGAATGATGAACACAGTGTATTGGGGTATGGATTCTTTATTGCCGGTATCTTGTTCCACATATAAACAATCAATAAAGTGAAAATATCGGCCCTATAAGAAATAAAATACAATATGTAAATGACATCAAACAATATATTCAGTTTAATGCAGTCCTCATACATCGACATGGATTTAAATAAAAATAGATTTAACAGGTTATAAATGAATGTGTAAAAAGGGAAATAACTCTTATGATTTACAGAATTACCAAAATCCTGTTTAGGTAGAAATGTACGTAAGTTTGAATAATTCATCAAAGTATATCAAAAATGTAAAAATTAAGTAATAATTCCTATAGCGTACCAATTTATGGAAATAGGCTGACTGCTACAAGAAGCTGGTAACAAGTTGTTCAAATATTACATGTATACTGAACTGAATGTGGTCTGTATACTAATACTCAAATAGAAATCTTGTAAAACACAAAATAATGTATATTGTTGAATATGTAAGGGTCGAGACAGACTTAACTGTCTCACAGCCGATATCGTTTACTGTCCCTGCAAGAAGGAAGTGCCCAGCACATCACATTGAACAATAGAAAACTTACCACCAAAACCGCTGGCCAATAAAACTACCGTATATACTCGCCTATATATCAGTTTTTTTGGAGTCAATCTCATTCTCTGGTACAAAACTCTGTGTCGACTTATTGGCGAGCTATAAAGAGAATGGTATTTTATGAGGTCAGTTCATCTGAAAAACAAGCTTATTAAATACAAGGCGGACCGACTTATAGGCGAGAATATACGGTACGTTGCACGTAATATAATGTCAAAGGTCGACAAGATCAGCCAGTCAGAATAAGCATTAAAAATGCAAAGTAAAAAGTGCAATGATGGCAATGAGAACTATAAAACAATTATCCACTGATTTGCCACACTATAGGACAAAGGCTGATAATGATGTTTCCTTTCTGACAGAGGCAGGAGGTGATGGGGTTGGGAAGAGGATTTTGGCCGACGCCCACTCTGAGTAGAAACAGCTGGGACGGGAAAATGTAGCGACCATTCTGTCGTACGGCGACAACTTTATGGACAATATATGGTGTGTTGCGACACGTGTGATGGACATGATATACGTAGGACGGGTAAGGAGGAGTGCTGTACATATATCTGTCCAAACTTCTAGGTCTTCCATTACTATCTTATTTTACCCCCACATTTGTCATATTTGCATACAAAACTTTTATCTGTAACTCAATCAAAATTTTTGATTTAGCAGTACATTGTAGTCCATTGATTTCCAATATTGATAAGAAATTTAAGGGCTCTGACATATAAAAACAAAGTGACTGTGTGTTTCAGTTTGTTGACTTGGGTGGCAGAGTCAGCCCTGGGGGCGCACACCTTGTTACAGTGTGGAGTCATGCAGAGACTGGCAGGATGTGTCTTCTTTGACCTTCGACCTTATTTTGACAGGTAGGTGTGTCAGGGTCTTGTGAATGTCTATAGAAATCAAAAATGTCAAAGTCCGTATGAAAAAGAACAAATTTATCAAATAGCAGTTTAGGATTTACAGTTTGGAGGTTTGTATATACTGAATGAGGGTTAAAAGTTTTGTAATTACTGTATACAGGGAAATTTTCGCCCCCGTTTTATTTTCGCCCCTTTCGCCCTACGATCTTTTGGGCAAATTTAAAACGGGGCAAATTCAAAGAATACAGTAAAATTTCTTAATCAAAACCATGATTGGGCGAATTTAAAACGGGGCGAAAATGTTTGCAAGTGTGAAAGGACGAAAATAAGACGGGGCGAAAATAACCCTGTATACAGTATTGCCCAAGCAATTCATACTTGCATTGATTATTGACCGTATTGTACGTTTAACAGAGATGAAGCCGGTGTAGATACAGAGGAGGACTTCACGTCCAGCCCCATGGCCCGCTATCATCAACTTCTCTTTGCCGCACTCAAATTCTGTCTGGCCATGCTGACCTCACTGGGCATAGAAAACCAGGACTGTGGCAATCAGGTGAATAGTTTGTACAGCTATATTTTTTTAATGCAGATCCCCCCATGGACTCAAAGCTTTATTTAGATAGTTCCCTAGAAAGTCTGCATATCAAGTAGAATTTGTCATGCTTTGACTTATGGGTATCAGTATCAATTTACACGTTCTTGTAGACATTATTTCATAGCTTACTTAAAAATAGATTAGAATCGAGTAATATTGATACATTTAAAAAAATATTGTCATGGGAATGTAATTTTATGGGTAAGAGTGACCCACGGAATCCAGAAATATCAGACCCCCACAAACATGTTACAGTAATGTTCATTATTCCATGCTTTTATAGGTGATGCAGTTTATCTTATCTCGCGGAGAAGTTTTCCACGGAATTCTACGAGACAGGCATCCCAGGAGTTTTAGTCTCCCTGCTCTACGTGAACTAGCTCTAACTACAGCGGTTAACTGACTCACGCTAACTCAAGAGGTAAATACTATTATGTTTATGTATTTGTGGAAGCAGATTTTGTTCATTATGTCATTTTTATGGTAGTATTGTTTTTCTAAAGTTTAGTTAAAAAATGTTCAAAGTATGTACATGTATGTATCCTCATTTTCATCTTCTTCTCAAAAACCACAGGCAAATTCAACCAAACTTGCCATTATAAGCATCCTTAGGTAAAGAAGATTCAAGTTTGCTCCAGGGATGGGGTAATCGTAATCAGTAATCGTAATCAGTTGTAATCGATTACAGTTTGCCAAGTAATCATGAGTAATCAGTAATCACCCATTTTTCTGATTACAAGTAATCGTAATTTAATCAATTACTCTGAAAAAAGTCCTGTAATCATGATTACTTTTTCGATTACTTTATGATTACAATTATTAAAACAAAGTTCATAAAATCATGATTTTTAATGATTTTTAGTGAATATTTTTCAGTGTAAAAAATAGTTTATTAAAAAAAAGTTATTAAGCTATATTTAATTAAGTATCTTCTTCTAACGCCTTCATTCATTCATTCATTCATTCATACTTTATTTCCCTCATTAGAGGATTATGCAACGACATGAAATCAAATATATATAAACATCAACAGATACCAAGCAAAATTAATATATAAACTATGAAGACAATGCATGCAAATAAAAGTCAAAACTAAAGAAAAGAAATAGGAAAATACATGTAAGTGAAAAAATTACAAGTTGTCAAAAAAAAAATAAATAAATAAATAAGGAAATAAAACTGATATATTCACAAATTTGTAATTTGAGGGCCACTATAAAATGTGTGTGTGTATGTGGTCAACTTGCAATTTGTTACTGTAGTCGAAGGGCTCGGTTGTAACACGTGGCCACATTACGTATATAACGAAAGTTGGTCATTTTAAGTTGGCGGAGATCTTCATCAAGTAGTAAGTGAACAGGATTGCATCCAAGAAGAAGAACAAAAATCTCGTCGTCTGTCATCGCGCAGATTTCTGATGAAAGGTGAACATCAAAATTGTTGGTAATATCTGCCCACCAACAATTGCGTAAGTTCGATGTAAGCAAGCAAGAGCATGTGATGTGAATAAATATGTCCGAAAAGATTTTCCCACAGAATCTGCAGATGTCTGGAGTCTGATCAGGTGGACTGGATATGAGTTTACAAATAAATTTACACAACTGGATTTCATAAGAGTTGGAAGGAATTGTCCATATAAAAGAAGGGCTCTGATTCCGGGTTATAGATAGAAAACGGTGAAAATCAAAGTCGTTCAGCATTCTGATGTTCCGTTGTGTGGTATGTTCTTTTGATACTGAAGATCTGACGATCCTTTTCCAGATATGTTTCGGTGGAAATATTCCATTTGTGAGCCAGGCATGCAGATATTCATTAAGACCATAAGTAGATAAAACTGAGATAATATCAGGTATGTAACCGAGTTGTTTGGTTGATACGTTTTCCAAAAATGAGAATAACCGTGTCAAAAATACTTTTTTAGGGAGAGAACGATGATCCATGCGACAAAGTCGCCCGAGAAAAAGCAGTTTACGGACATCTATTTCGGATTTGATGGGTAGAACATTGAAAGTACTTTCGCAAATGTCAGATCTTGTCTTTGTGGGGAGATTCTGAGCATTTTTACAAATGAAATGTTGGAAAACATTCAGGCGTTGGTAATCAGTTGTAGAAAGGTTGTTCCATAGTTCGCAACCGTAGAGGACTGTGGGAAGCACAACTGACTTGTACAGATGAGATAATGTGAGCGGATTAAGATAGATCGATCCAATATCGTTCAGCGCATAATATGACTTTTGTCCTTTGCGACACGCTGAAAGAATCCTATGCGAAAGGTTAAGTTTGTCATTAATTATGATCCCCAGATGATTATACGTTAGGGAACAGGGGATTGTGATATCGCCCAGTTTCCAAATGCAGGATGGATCTAATTTGGAGCCTTTGGTACGGATTTGTAGTATACATGATTTTTGAGCATTGAAGGAAAAACGCCATTTTCTAGAATATTCGTGTGATATATTAAGCATATTTTGTAAGGCTATTGGGGTTATTCCAATGCATGCAATATCATCTGCTAATGTAGGACAATTACTAGTAATTCCAAGGATGCCGGTATTTATACTAGATTTTTCGAGGTTGACAACAAGTTCGTTAATGTATACAAGATATAGGAAAGATGACAACACTCCACCTTGTCGTACGCCTTGTAAGACTGGAAACCATTTAGATTGTTTTTGATTAACAACGATTGCACTAGATGTATCGGTGTGACAGTCATTCATGATCGACCACAGTTTACCCGAAATGCCTAGTTCGTACAATTTAACGAGGAGGCCATGTCTCCAAACCGTGTCGAAAGCTTTCGAGCTATCTAAAAAGCTAATATAGACGTTGCTGCCTTGCTCAATATTATGAAAAATGGTTTCTTGTGTGTTAAACGAAGCTGTCAAACAACCCAGTTGTTTTTGAAACCCTTGTTGTTGTCTGCAGGGAAAATGGTCAGGATTGATGATAAGGTCTCGAATTCTTGAATGTATTACATTTTCAAAGATTTTTAAGAAGCATGATAGTAAGGCAACAGGCCTATAACTAGCACATGATGTTTTCGGTTTGTCTCCACCTTTAAATAGAGGAACGATGAATCCTTGTTTCCAGAATTCTGGTACTTTCCCGAGATGTATAATGGAGTTATAGAGTTTCACGATACATTGAATCACGTGATTGCCTCCGAACATTAGATGCTCGTAGGTAATGAGGTCTGGTCCGGGAGCTTTACGGCGCTTAAGATTTTTGAATATTTCTGAAATTTCAGCGGCAGAAATTGGGCCGCCTGGAATGTTATCGGTTGATTGTAGACACTGTGTTTTGATGGTAGAATATCTGGACTCCATGTGAGAGTTAAAGGTTTCATCAAAAGACGATTCTTTGGATGGAGTATATATGTTTTCAAAGTAGGTGGCAAATGCATGGGTGACACCTAGTGGATCTCGATAAGATACTCCATTTGATATAATTTCTGGGTATGTGCGAGAGGTTTTAACCTTTTGTCTTTTTACTAGCTTCCAGAATAAGCGTATATCACACTCTGCAGCTTCATCTAGATCCTTATAAACGTTTCGCATAAAGTGTTCATATTGAGTAGTGAGTGCGTTTGAAAATTTTCTCTTAGCGCGTTTGTAATTTCGATATGAGTCATGTATCATGCCTCTTGGCCTTCCCTCATTTATCCATATGCGTCGGAGATTACGTTCAATCGAATGTAGTTGTTTAACCTCCGTCGTCCACCCCGGTCGAGTGTGCGGATTAAACCCTCCCTGAGGAATGCATTTATATGAAGCATTAACAATAATTTTGCAAAGTTTTTGATAAAAGCAATTCATATCGGTAACTGAAAGTATTTCAGACTCTAGCAAATTGCTAAGCTCAGGTTGCATAGTTGACCTATAGCAGTCTAAATCATCAGAAGTCGCTTTGTGCCAAACCGGTAATTTTAAGTTAGTGGTTTGCAGGCAGTGGCGAGGATGTTCAAACTTAAATGAGACTAATATAGGCAAATGATCAGATGTATTACAAAATTCACCTTCTCGAAAAATTCGATATGAGAGTAGTGAGTCTGACATACATTTGTTAAACAGTACATAGTCAAGCATTGTTCTTTTAAGAACAAAAGTATACGATTCACCTGTCGTTTGAAAATCTTTGACAGGCATACAAAGTTCACATTTGTTTACTAAGTCTATCAACAGTTTGGATTTTGTAGCATTTGTATTGAGATGACTTAAAATACTACCGTTAAGGTCACCAGCTATGATAACGTCACCATAAGATCTATAATGACAATATAGACTTTCAATATAATTGAGTTCTTGTATATATGATTCTATATTATTATCTGATGGGAGATATACTCCAAAAACGTACAATACATTTCCCTTAGTGTCAGTAAGTTCAACACCAATTATGCGATTTGAGTTACAGCAGGGTACCTCTTTGATGGAATAATCAAGTGATTTTTTAAATAGAATGCCTACACCCCCTTTACCAACAAATTGTAAAGAGGTGTATAACTCAACATCGGTACCTACTTTACTAAAACTTGAATAGTTTCTATGTACAGAGTCAAGATAGTTTTTACAAGTACTGCTATCTTTGAGTTTATGTTCAGAGATAACGGCTAAATCACAACCAGAATTGTCTAAAAGTTTAGATAAACTCATCGTTGATGACATTATCCCTCTTACATTCCAGGATAATATGACAACCATTGAAAAAGATAAAATAGTCAATACAATAATGAATTGTTGAAAATACATTATGTAAACATTAGGGTTTGGGTCAGAAATTAGTCATACTCTGTCCACCATTCGCGACGTTGGTGGTTTCTTTCACTGAAGTTCCGATTTCTATGTCTGTCTTCCCAATCGCGAGAACTGTACCATTTGCGACAGGATATACCGTCTGGCCAAAAACCATAGCTCTCTACATGTTTGGCGTGATCGAGCGGTACGTTGATCTTTGCCGTCATCTGTGACCACCGTGATCGTGCGGGGAAAAGAACTATGTGTGTTACCTTGACACCTTTGCTTTCAATATAGTTTAATATTCCTTGTTTTGAGGATTCGGGGTCAATCCCCCAGAAATATAATATCTAGAGTTTCTCTTATATTTGACGCTTCGGAAGATTTCTTGCTCTTGGTGGGTAAGATCGCTTCTATTGTGCGTGTCATTCAGATTGACTGAATGTAAAACTAATATCAGCATCAAACGTTTGCTTGTCCGGTTTTGTAGGTTGAAATTCATCCACATTAGTACCGCTATGTTTTCGGTTGGCCGGTTCTGTTGAATCGGTAGACCGTGACGCATCACGCGGGGCTGAATTGCCGAGAGATTGTCCTTTAATAACGGTAGTCGATGGGGTGCCCGGAGGGATGGGAGAATTTGCAAGTGTCTGTAGTGTGTTCGATGAGGATGCTGACAC